TGGCTTTGGCAGAAAAGCCACATCTGTAGGCCTTTGAGCACGGTCCTTAACCCAAGCTCAATGGGCACTGCTGCCCTTCGATGCCAAGCTTGCTCTCACCTATGTGTGTGTCAAGGTAAGCAAAAAGAGAATTTCCTCACCAGGATCAATGAAGTGTTATTATTCTTATTGTGTTTGAAGATCTACCATGGATAGCCAAAACAATCCACAGACCCCATAAATAGCATGATTTTCATGTATATGCATATAGCAAAGTGTAAATAGTATGTTACGCACTGTAAGACATTACCAACATTAAATACAGTAATAATACATTGCGCACAATTATCAAGAGATGATGGAGCAATGAAAAAATGATAGAACAGACAAAAAGCGGTTATAAATGAGAATTCAACCGAATAGGCAAGATTGATCTGTTGTGACTTAGTTATCAATGCAACCAATCAGAAGTTATGTTTTGTTTAGAGCCTGCCCTGAGTTTGATGGGTGACTCTGACACATAATTTTAATGGTTGCTGGTATCAATTAATTTGTATTTTAAATAATCACGATATACAATGCATTGCTGCATTGCTCATTTTTTGTTAATCCTCGTTTGTTAAGATCTCGTGTTAATTTTGGTTAAGGAGATTTAGCCATGCAGGCAAAACGCCTATTTTTGTATCTCATACACCCCTGGCCACATCACAAAGACAATCAGCAGAACAAGGCGCATCTCTTCATGAATATGTCAGGGCCAGTACCTCCACAGGCTGGGTGTTTCCCACTACAAAGACATGCTGTGTGTTGACGTCAGGGTCCTTGCCAAAGATGTTGGGCTTGGCATGATGCTGGAAGTGCAGATGATTCCACCAGCAGGCAGAAGCACCCTGAGGGCAGACAGACAAGCCCAGGGAGATTCCCACCATGCACATCTCCATTCCTCACATCTCCTTTAGCACTTGATTCTTGGTCAGTCTCTCGTTTTAATTTTTCTGAATCCTCACCCTGTGTGCTGCTTTTTAGCAATACATCACAGTACTCAAGTAATCTTTTTTCTTTTTACATGCTGTTTGTCTTGCATGTTAAACACTACCTAGGTACAGAGTTTCACTGTGGGCACACTTCATACCTATACAGGCAGTTTTTTTCCCTACTAGATCACAGTTACTCTTTAGGGACCTTAAATAAAAAAGCCATGATATATCACACATCTCTGACATTCCTGTTTATGCCCCCATCCATATGCTGTCTGACTGATGAGAGTCATAAATTATTCACCTTGGAATTGTTCACTAGGAAGGTACCTGTCTTTGCTAAGTATACTATCAATCAGTCACAATATCTGCATTATATTAGTATGTCATCATTACAGTTATTCTTATAGAGATCCAATTTTAACTATTTTTGTTGTCATTGTTGTTGTTATTATTTTGTGTCTCGGATTGGCTGAGATGTTCACCAAACCAGTGTCTCTCAAACCAGTCCTCGAGTTGACACAGTCCACGTTTTTCCTCCCTCCCAAATCTGAGCATTCTTGTACTAATGCTTGATTGTTTGGCTCAGGTGTTCTGGGAGCTGAGAGGGAGCAAAAATGTAGAATGTTTGGGAGTCTTTGACTCGTGTTATACTCACGTTACTGCATCTTGGTGTCAAAGAGTGGCATTTCTTACATTAGGGAGGCTCAATTCACATATGAACACAATGCAGATAATAATGGTGTCCATTACCACAGGTCAACAGATGAGCTTAACTCTCACAACTTTAGCCACAACCCTCATATAGACACCCTACAGTCTGCAGTCCACTTATAGACTCCCACACAGTGTGGCAGGATATGGAACATGATAGTTTAAATTTTAGTAAGCAAACTATGTTTACATTTGAACAAAGTGAACATCCCCTCCATTTGCAAACCTTTATGTGTCCAACAACAAATTTGTGTAGCAGGTGATTCCAATACGATGTTTTGAACACGGATAGGTGGCCAAAATCATGTTGAAGCCATCCAGCCTGGGCCTGCGAGAGAACCACATATTAATATGTTTCAGTTTGGCAGAGTACAACCTATCAGGATTCGAGGGTTTTATTCGTCAAATGCAAGGTTTACAGTCAGACCATAACCTAGAGTGAAATGCAAGGTGGTCAACCCTGCAATAATGAAGAGTGGAAGCAAAAAAGACATTAAGAGTATCATTAGAATAAATAGTCATAAATGAGGAAAGTTACACTGTAAAAAGTACATAGACCAGGGATGTGCAACATAGATCAAATAAAGTGTAAGCTGCATAAACAAGGAGAGGATAAATTAAAAGTGTCAATTTAATATTAAGCAGTCAATGGCTTGAGGGTAGAAACTCCTTCTGAGCCTCGCAACTCTCACTGAGAGACAGCAGAAGTGCTTTCCAGACCTCAGCCTGATAACGAGGTAGCTGTTTGTGTGGGTAGGTTGTGTCTCTGCTGATTTTGGCAGCTCAGCTCCTGCATCGTCTGAGGTAAATGTCTTGCAGGGACAGCATATCAGCCAAGGGTACTTCTTTCACTCCACTCATTTTTGATACTTTCCACTCTTTTGTTCACTCTCTTGCTTTGGATATATGACCATTTCCTGTCATGTGACACATGAGCGCTAAGGTATAGTGATTATACCTGAGATGTACTAAGAACCACTGCACACATCAAGCTTGGGATCCACCCCGTGCCCCATGTCCACAGCACTAACAGGGACAACATTTCTAAGAGCAGAATATGCCCCAAGTGGAGGCAGAAGAAAGTGGCATCGGCTCGGAACAGGCCCTTTTTCTCCACTTGCTCTCGGAGGGCTCGGAAGTCTTGGACCACCATTGCCTGTGATAGAAGGAGAAGAGAAAGTCACATGACACAGGAGAATACCAATGCAGAGGAAAAAGTTAGAGTAAGCAATTATGAAATGAGAACAACTGGATTTACAGAGGCAATATTAAACCATGTAGCAGCTGTGTAAACATACTAGAATCCTGCCTTTGAATGTATCAGTCTTGCTCTCCCTAAGTCATGTGACTCAGGTTCGGATTCACATTGCATTATCTTCATAAACTCCACTGAACAATAACCTGGTACAGTAAGCGCCACGGTAACAACATTTGGCAACTCGCACAAGCTTGGAAGGTGAATGTCGGCACTCACATTCTTCTGGTGGTCCTGACTTGGCTCCAAGGGTGCCAGCTCTCCAATCAGCAGTGGCTTCAGAAACTTGCGCACAAAACCTGGATCTGGGTGGAATGCAACAAATGCATCCTAAAATGCAGCCACAGAGAGATGATGTGTTATCATTTACCATTTTCCAAGATTACACGACACGTTCATGTTACAAGGGTCTCACAGTGCAAAATGTTTCCTGGCTGTTACTTTTATTTTCTTTAAAAAGCTCCCTGAGCAGCATTTCTTTTTTATAATTCCCAATAATATATTGTATAACAATTTAAAAAATGTTCTTTAGCAAGCAAACATAGCCTACTCTCAATCATAATATGAGTGACATATCACAACAAAGAGTAATTTAAAATAACTGTATTTTACACATGAAAAAATTTTACAAAATAGAATGTAAAATATTAAGCAAATGGTTTTAATATACCTGTCATCTGTTGCACATAAATAAGAAAAACTAAGCAGGTCGTATTTTTTATAGACTTACAACATGCAGGGTAAGCTTCAAACGGTTTTTCTTACAGTATAACAAACCACTGCACTACACGATCTACAAAGAGCCAGGTTCTAAACAGTGCCTGGTTATTGCAACGTGCCAGTCCAACCATACACGAAGTTGGGATGCGGACTGCGATTTCGTACCGTGGCGTCCTCCCCAGCGTAGTGGGTTATAACCCGATATCCTCCCGGGTGCCTCTTAATCCACTCGGTTACATTATACACTTTTCTTTCAATGACGATCCACTGATCGTTTCTGCTGCGGTGTCTCTGCACCTCCTCCCACGTATAAACACTGCTGTCTCGGCTGCCACTGGGGGCGGCTTCAGGGTGCCGTCGTCCGCCGCCCATTTTCGCTGCTCCTGATCCGCTTGCTCGTCTCCACCTAGGCGCTGCTGCTCCCCTTAACTGCAGGGCAAAGGCACACTGATATACAGACGCCTGAAAAGGAAACGCAGAAATAATAGGCCCACAATATAGTACTATTGAAAAGAACGACATCAAAATACAGTACATGACGTGGGCATACATATGTTCTTATAAGAATAAGTGTACCATCTATTATGATTCAAAGACTGCTGTACAAGCACAACGAAATTTACTGAAAAATTGCACACGTGAATTTACATTTGTTCATCATTCGCCACACTAAAATAATAACAATAATAATAATATAGATAAATAGATAGATAGATTTAAAAACAAAATACGATCCATTCAGATTAAATAATTTCCATATAGTCTTCAGATTCATTGTAACAGATTAATTTACCGAACTACAAGTTATTTAACCCCATTTCTTATTTACGCCAACATTCTCCTCGGAGAAGGAAAGATTGATCGTATCACCGGGTAAGAATAGCCTATTAAGAAGTGATAGTTATTTCTTTAAGCCGAACGGTCATGTTCTCTTTATGTATTATTTTGTTATTGCAGCTGCTTTTATAAGCACTAAATTATTAACGATATTGCATCCATACTTTGTTACTCTAGGTATTATGTACATCACAGACAGGAGATCCGCCTCTATATGCAGATGCATGGTACAGCTACGGTGCACTCACCTGTTCCTTGTGGGTTTCCCTCACTGCCACATCCCTGCGCCGTATAAGTGTGCTCCGTCTCTCCCGTAACAAAGTCCAGTTGATTCCGTGGCTCCTTACGCAACGCGCTCATTCACAGTCCGCTCGGTGCCCCGGCGATCATTCGAGGCCTTCCAGTCCAATCGGTGCCTTCTTCGGCGCTGCCTGCGAACTCGCAATTGGTCCGGATCGCTCTTCCGACAGTAAGCGAGAGAGAGGGAAGCCGCATTTTGCTCCCATGGGTCCTCCGTTGGTAATACAGGCCAGGGTGATCGGTGAGTGTTATGGACTCGCTGGTGCACTGCCAGTTTGCTGAACATGGGGATAGAGCAGATGCGTGAATATTGAAAACACTCTCGCCAATCTAAATCCCATAAATGTTAAGTAAAGATTCAGGTTAATAATAAAACCATCACAACCAGAAACTGATGTTCAGGGGATGCTTGTTTGGCATGCTTACATTGGGTTGCTCAAGTTTAATCATTGAAAGTATGTTTTATTCATATTACATATTTACAGTATATTACAGAGGCATCACAATTAAACAACAAACACCAATACTTACCCCGAAGGCAAAAAAGTGAAATAAGTTAGTAAATACTGTGGTCTACATAATTATTGAGAACTGTCAACTCAGTATCCGCTGGATGCACTTTCAGGAAGACCTACAATACAGCCTTTGTGTAACCTACTTTACCTGTTGCTTAACCCATTCTTCTTTTAGAAATAGTTATACAGTGAAGTTGTTCAAACGTCTTACAGATCATTTGTAACATCAGAACAGGAGCACTCAAGGACATTTACTTTGCCATGGATTAACACTTCAGCTTTGGTCTTACATCTGTATCAATGTTTTCTTCTTTCTGTGGTAGACTTTGTTAGTAGATTTCTTCTGGCACTTTGTCCATTTTATATGCAGTTGTAAAGCATTTACCAGTCCCTGCTGTTCTGTCAGGTGATGATACCAGAATAGCTTTGTCACAAGGATCGTTTATATCCAGTTCAATTTAATTTATTTTTATATAGCGCCTTTCACAACAGTATCGCCCAAAGGCTCTTTACAGTGTTTAGAGTTGTGATACATTACAACATCATTAAGAGAGAACAAAACAAAAACTGGGAAAAGAAAAGACAAAGATATGAAGGAAACAATCAGATCACAACAGATGAGAGGAACCTAAAACTCCCAAGTAGAGAGGTCAACTGGCTGCCCAACCCCCCTGGGCAGGCTAACATTATAGAAAAAAGAAAGAGTGGACTTGCTTGCCAAAAGCAAGGTGTAAACCATGAATAAGGGCAAAGCCAAAGTCCATCAATGAGTCAATTCTCCATGCCGGCCTGTGCAGGGTGCAGAATGAAGTCCGTACCCATGATGTTACAGCTCGTAGGTCACATACACAATGTCACCCCTCCACGGAACTGAACTAGGATTCCATCTCAGATTGTGTCCACCCTGGGCATCGTCCGAACATCTGGGAAGAATGGCAGAGAACATGGGTGGTCAGAACATTCATTGACACTTTAATGGACAAGCATAGTAGATAAATATGACATGCACAGCAGCACCAGCAGCCATAGTTACGGTGTGTTGGGTTGCCAGTAAGCTAAACTAAAGTAATAGATCTTCAGTCAAGATTTATAGACTGAGATCGATTCGGCATCCCAAGCATAAGCTGGCAAACCATTCCATAATATAGGGGCCCTGTAACAGAATGCTTTTTGCTAACTCTCATTTTATTTATGTGTGGAACGACAAAGAAACCTACGTTCTATCATCTGAGTGGATGATGTGGCTTGTAAACGAAGTAATTCTGTTAGGTAGGCAGGTACTAGACCTTTAAGTGCCCTACTGTATATGTAAGTAGGGGAACTTTGAAGTCAGTCCTGAACCTAAGCGGAGGTCAGTGCAGGGAACTAAGGGCAGGGGTTATGTGTTCAAACTTCCTGTTCTTGCTGACAATTTGAGTTGCTGCATTTTGAATACGCTACAAGGTGATTAATGTGCAGTGCATCCTCCCCGATAACAGAGCATTACAGTAGTTTAACCTACTGCATACAAAGGCAGCATCCCATAGTAGATCTACGGCAAACAGAACAAAATTTTAAAACGTAACTCTCGCCCAATCACAGCACTTCTTTGTACATGACCCTTTGTCTGCTTTGTTTTGTTTTGCTGATGACATCATACTGTATGCCATAGGTAGGGAGAGTTCTATTCAAAGAGATTCTGCTGCTTTTAAAGTGTCTCATTTTGGCAAGTATGGCTCTGACACCTGGATGACAGTGACTCAGTGGTTAGTGCCATTGCCTAACATCTCCCTGGTTGGTCCTCCCTCAGTCCACAGACATGAGGTTAGAGAACTGGTACCTCCAAACTGGCCACAGTGTGTACACCCTGGCTGGGTTAACCTGGGACATTTGCTCTGTTTCCTCATTTACTGGGATGGGCTGCAGATTCGGTGTTTGGGGTGAGGAGTTGAAAGATGGAGGGTTATGGCATTTATCCCTACTTTAAACAATATTTTAGATAAATGTCACATATGTATGAAATCATATTTAATAATAAATAAAACAACTGGGGAGGTAAATTTATAATTTGAGCTTTTAAATCAAATGGGAAAAACACAGAAATGAAATCTGGGAGTGGTGAGAATCATCAGGTAATATAATCTTCACTGAAAGTACTGTGATTAGTAGTGCCAAACCAGAATCTCTGCTTTGTGTGCCTGTAGCTACCTACGATTGTTATATTATAGTTTCACAAGATGCCAGCATTGATAATACAATGTTACCTTTCGATACTGTGGGTGCCAGGTATGCACAAACGCCTGGGCAGCCAGTTGTCATTGGGTAGTTTGGAGTATACAAATAATGAATATGTGAACAATACTTGTGTTTACTGAGAGGACAGTGTGTGTGTCATGAGGCAAACATTATGCAGGGATGGATTATACAGGAACAATATTTTAGGTACCTTTGAAATAAGATGAGATTTCTCATTGTGTGATTGGAGTTAAGAACATAAGAACTATACAAACGAGAGGAGGTCATTCGGCTCATCGAGCTCGCTTGGGGAGAACTTAAATAATACAGTAGCTCAGAGTTGTTAAAATCTTATCTAGCTCTGATTTAAAGGAACCCAAGGATTCAGCTTGCACTACGTTATCAAGAAGACTATTCCATACTCTGACTACACGCTGTGTAAAGAAGTGCTTCCTTAAATCCAGTTTGAAATGTTCTCCCGCTAATTTCCACCTATGGCCACGAGTTCTTGTATTTGAACTAATGCTGAAGAACTATTTGGTTGAACAGCATCTAAACCTTTTTAGAATCTTATAGACCTGGATCATGTCCCCCCTCAGTCTCCTTTGCTTGAGGCTGAACAGATTTAGCTCAACTAACCTTTCCTCGTATGACATTCCTGTAAGACCAGGAGTCATTCTTGTGGCCCTATGCTGCACCTTTTCTAAGGCCGCAATGTCCTTTTTAAGATATGCTGACCAAACCTGCACACAATATTCTAGGTGAGGTCTCACCAAGGAATTGTATAATCTTAGCATTACCTCCCTTGACTTAAACTCCACACACCTGGAGATATACCCCAACATCCTATTAGCCTTTTTTGTTGCTTCCCCGCACTGGCGAGAATGAGACATGGAAGCATCAACATACACACCAAGGTCTTTCTCATAATCAGCTACCTTTATTTCAGTAGGTCCCATAAAATACCTGTACTTTATATTTCTGCTCCCTACATGGAGTACCTTACATTTGTCTATGTTAAATTTCATCTGCCAGGTATCGGCCCAGTCACTAATTAAATCAAGATCCCACTGTAGCTGCTGAGCCGCAAGTTCAGTATCTGCTACACCCACCCGCCTTGGTGTCATCTGCAAATTTCACCAGTTTACTGTACTGTATATATTGGTGTCTATATCATTT